GTGACTGTTGGATGACTAACCTTGCTCTAGCCTGTTCTGGATATTGAGTCCTGATCTAAAATTAGCTATATAAACCCGGAAGTGACAATAAACAGATTCACCTACTAACATGCAGCAAGGTGACCACTACAAGTGCACACAGTATCACAGACTTAGCTATCTGGTATAGTGCATGTGTAATAACGAAATAGGGAACAGATATACTTCTGCCACCATTGTTAGATTCTACATTAACAGATGTAAGTAATATTATAATTAGAAGTATATTTTAGTTAGATGGGAATATATTTAAACCACTGAGTGTGTTTCTCCATTATACCACTCCTAGCTTCTCAGTTGGTGTTTCTGTGGCCATTGTTTTTGCTTATCACATATCACATGTGTTGTAAACAGCAGCCTTCTTTGCATCCTAGAATTTGACTGCACCCAATATACATTTGTTAGGTATAGTGCCCAATTAGGCTACATTATAATAGCCACTGTAAATAAAGGAGAGGGGATATACTACCAAGCTGTGCTTTCTTTTTGTCTTGGGGCACAAAGGTTCTCAGTATGATCAGACCTGAAGCTGAGAAGTAAAGTCCATACTTGTACTGTACATTGTATTGTCAATCTGGTTTTGTGTGCAATTTGTAAACATCATGTAACCTACCATACTTATGCCGTGCATTGTGTTGTAAATACTTTTTCATGTGTAATTTGTATATTATGTAACCCTATTTTAATGTTATTTTAATTTGAACTACATCTTTGTCCAAGAATCCTCAGATCTATGTGTGTATGTGTGAATATTCCTATAGTGATTCAAGTGTATTCACATACTGTATACACTTAACCTATACACTTAACCTAGTTAAATATTATGTATACCCAGAAGCTATAGGCAACAATAGTAAAGTAATTAAACATAGGAGCACTTGTCTAATAACCCCTGCTTCTGGCCTGGATTCAGCAGCAATTTTTCCACAGAGAGGACATGTGGATCCAAAATCTCTCTTTATATCTTCCTTCTGAGATTTCCAAGCCAGTCTCTCAGACAGTAGGTACATACAAAATTAACTCTGATTATTAAGAGCACAGGTATTCACAAATACAGACAGTAGAGGGTAGCAGATCCCTACATAAGGGTCTAGAAAGATTGTGTACATAGCTTTCAGAATGCATCACACCACCCTTCACATGATCATTTATAATTTTCATAAAAAGTAAGGCATCTTGACAATCTGTCAAAAGTTTCTGTGGAAGGAAACACTGAAATATTTTGGATTTTAAATGAAATATCTATGAAATTTTACTTATATTAAATAGTTTGCTAGTGCTGTGTTCATTACAGACAACTAATCTGATCCCATATTAAATTGTATTGTAATTATACTGTCTGCCCTTATGTTGTAAAATGCTGCGTAAAGTGTTGGAGCTATATAAATCCTGTATAATAAGAACTAATTGGTATGCCAATGCAATGGAATAAAAGCTAAAGCTAAGCTTTTAGGAAAAGAATTCAGCAATGACAGCCAACATTAATTGCTATGGACAGTGTGTGCCTCAAGTGGTCACCCTAAGCAAACCACCCTAGAACTGCAATCTTTTTACATTCCTATGCCGAGCTGCTCTTTTGTATTATCAACAGTCTTCCACAACATCATAAATGCCAGGGTATGTCCATTTAGGAGTGCAAGAAGCAGCTCAACCCTGGCAAACTTACAAAAGTAATGGTAAATCAGTCCCAGTGACTGGGACCAAGATTTTGTTTCCGAACTATAAAAAAAAGTGCATTGCCTTCCATTTTAAAGATGCTTTTGCAGGTTACTGTAATTAAAAATTGAAATATTCAGCAAAATCCCAAACATCCTAACATCATTATAGTCTAGGGGAGCAGAATTTTTCAAGGCCAACTTGTAAGCTTGTTTACTTGTAAGTAAACTTGTATGGGGGACAAATACTAATGAAACAAATAATTTGGAAAAAATAAAGTTTAGTGGGGAGCAGGTTTTATAATAAGGTCTGAAGGGAAACATTAAAAAATGCAAGTTCTTTAAATAGCGTACTTGAGGGATTCCGTGAACCTGCAAGAGAAGTAGCACACCTATACAATACATTGAGGTAAAAGAGCCAGATATTTTCCTCAACATCCATACCAGATTCTTATTCTTGATGTGACTCAGATGTGGGTTTTAACAGGGAACCCCATCATTTAAAAAACATAAGGAGTCTTAATGGAGTAGTAGAAGAAATAACATGTGTGTGCTGTTAGGTTAGTAAACTCTGACACAACTCCATATTACTAGCAGCGTATGAAATGAATGGCAAAAGTGAAAGCCCAGTTCTGTGAAGCTGCATAAGTGGGGTGAATACAATATACATTTCAATGTACAGGTCAAAGAATACAAAAGGTGAACTATATGTAATATAAATGTTACCCACAGCTATGGATTTACACCTCAAAAATCCTTTAAACTAATATACATAGCACTAGGAAGATCAGCATCAACCATAACAGTGTAAACGGCACAAATAAAAGCCTCACTGTAATTGTTAGCTATTCAATGTTCCCAAGTGCACTCCCACTGCCTAATAGTGGTAGGGTGTATGGGCTCCTGACAAGAGGGTACCCTTGGAGGTTACTGCAATGTACCTGGTGCACAATTATCAGTATTGGCCATCTTTCATTGGGGGCCCTTCTGTAGGTGGTTGCACTTGTAGCTGTCATTTTAACACTGTACACAAGGGATGGCTGATGGGCTGTTAAGTAGGGGGAAGTATAAGTGGGCATTAGCCTTGGGCAGCAAGGGGTTAAACTCGGTAGTTCCAATAACCTCTCCCAGTATGCAATGGATCAGATCCAATATGCTTGATGGTCATTTGTCCATGAGCTCTCAGTCTTCTTGATCAGGTCCTCACAAGACTCTCACTGGTTTCTCACCAGTGTAGCAGCAAGTCTCTCCAGCTCTGGTCCCAGTTCAGCAAACAATCTCTCTGAGACTCAGTCCACAAGCTCCCATAAACACAGTCACCCAATCTCTTCACAGGACCTGTTCTCTCTGATGCTGTGGACAAACTCAAACAGCAGGTCTGCACTGTTCCATGCCTTGTGCTGATGTGCACTGAAATCTTGTAATTTCCTCCTGTGTATCCAGGGAATTGTGGGTGCTGTCATTCTGCAGCCAATTGCTTGTATTGAACAGTGCATCTTTAAGACTACATTTCCCAGAATCCTCAGTGTCTGCATAGCAAGTCTTCTCCCCACCTCTGATTAGTTCAGGTGCACTGCAGCCAAGAGGGAGGGGGCAGGAATGAGCCTGTAGATTTTACAGAGAGCAGCTCACAGCAAGGAAGCTAGGGTGAGAGAAAGCTGCAATATTAATATTATTATACAGGATTTATATAGCGCCAACAGTTTGCTCAGCGCTTTACAATAGAATGGGAGACAATACAGCAACAATACAGTTCAATACAAGAGGGAAAGGAGGGCCCTGCTCTTTGGAGCTTAAAATCTAGAAGGGAAGGGCTAGTGGTGCAAAAGGTAGTAACTATGGGGGATGGGCTGGTAGGAAGAGTAGAAGATTCCATTATTAGCTGAGGGCAGGATAGGCTTCCCTGAACAGATAGGTTTTCAGAGATCGCCTAAAAAAGTGAGCAGAGTAGGCTATAGTCTGATAAATTGGGGTAGAGAGTTCCAGAGGATGGGGGAAGCTCCGGAAAAGTCCTGGAGACGAGCATGTGAGGAGGGACAAGGGAGCTAGAGAGCAGGAGGTCTTGCGAGGAGCGGAGAGTATGGTTTGTGTGATATTTAGAGACAAGATCCTTGATGTAATTTGGGGCAGGGTTATAAATGGATTGATACGTTATTGTTAATGTTTTGAATTATATTCGTTGGGCAATGGGAAGCCAGTGGAGGAATTGGCAGAGAGGGGTGGCAGATACAGAACGGTTAGTAATGTGGATAAGTCTGGCAGCAGCATTCATGATAGACTGAAGAGGGGATAGCCTGTGATTCAGTAGGCAAATGAGGAGGGAGTTGCAATAGTCAAGGCGAGATATAACAAGGGAATGAATAAGTTGCTTAGTATACATATAGCATATATTGGTTTTTAATGTACTATAAAGACTATACAGAAAAAGGATCAGGAGTGAAGGGTACAACATACACTATACAGAGCATCAGTCAGAAGTGTACTGTACAGGGTAACATCGACCATAGACAAAAGGGACAGGAGTTCAATGTAAAGCATAGACTATGCAGAAAAGAGGCCAGGAGTAACATATACAGTTTAGAGTACACAGTTTAGTGTTTGTTGGTCTTAAGGTTTTTTTTTTACATTGTTTCTGAGTAATCATTGAAAAAATCAATGAGCCAAACATGTTGAGTGTGTCGTCTCATGCTCATGTCAGTACAGTGTTTTTTTCTTACATGTGGCCGACTCTGGCCAGAATGGATTACTCCTCTGGCATATTATTCGGTCTGTTTTAAATTTCTGTGGTAACAGTGGATGTCAGGTTGGGATCTATCTATCTATCTATCTATCTATCTATCTATCTATCTATCTATCTATCTATCTATCTATCTATTTATCTATCTATCTATCTATCTATCTATTTTTCTATGTATCGAATATACAAGGACTCATTTGGCTGTGAGGTTGATACTCCAAACAAAAAGGTCCTGCAGTCTGCCCTCCTTAAAGGGGTATACTACTTTCATCCCCATTTTACAGTTGAGAAAGGACACGCCAATGGGACAGCAGTGCAGAGTTGCAACTGTTCCTTTCTGGCCCCTAAGAAGCGATCTACCTCTTTACACAGCGATTGACGTAGAAGAAGAATTATACAAGAGGGATCAGCCTCTAGGAGACGTACTTGCAAACAGTATAGAAGCTGCATAAGCCCTTCACATCAAAGATGCAGAAAATGCTGAGAGGAAGTCAGAAGTATAGTGTGATACATATGATATACACAGAAGGAGTGTGGAGTATAATGTACAGCAAAAACTATGCAGAAAAAGGTAAAGAGTACAACATACAATGTACATGATACAGAGAAGCAGTCAGAACAGGGGCGGACTGACAACTCATGGGGCCCCCGGGCAATAGGGGATCATTGGGCCCCTGTGTCGTTGCCCAAACTCAAAAAAGCCTATGAAAAAGGTACCAGGGGCATCTCATGGGGCCCCCCTACTGACTTCGGGTCCTCGGGCAGTGGCAGAGTTTGCAAATGGTCAGTCCGCCCCTGGGTCAGAAGTATAATGTATAACACAGACTATAGATAGAAGGGATAGGTGTTTAATGTACAGCATAAACTATGTAGAAAAGGGGCTAGTAGTAAAAATATACAGTTTAGAGTACAACGTTCAGTGTTTGTCAGCCATATGGTTTTTTAGTTTGTTTGTGAATAAGCAATAAAAAATATGTAAGCCGAAGACATGGTGAGCGTGTGTCATCTTATGCTCATGTCAGTATTGTGTTTTTCTTACATGTGGTATGCTCTGGCCAGAGTGGATTATTTCTCTTGCTCCTCTTTTGGTCTGCTTTTTCCTCTCTGTGATAAAAGCAGATGCCCAGTTGGGATCTATCTGTCTATCCATCTGTCTATCTATTTTTACATGGCTTAACCACTTGCCGATGAGTGTTAGCCGTATGATGATGGCTTCACCGGGGCTGGCCAGTTCTGGGAGGCGACACATGATGTCCTTCCATGATCGTGCTTCCTCCGCGCCCCTGGCGGCACACATCAGAAAGTGTAAGTGATTGCTGTGTCCCTCAGACACAGCGCTTCACGAAGAGGGAGGTGAAGGTCTAATTGCAGAGGCTGTTTACATTTGTGATTGCTCTGTCTAGAGATGAGCGAATCGAACTCGGCGAAGTGGAATTCGTTTCGAATATTAGGAAAATTTTCGATTCGCGTCGAATCCAAAAATTAGCAGACTTCGGATGCGCGAATCGAAATTTTTCCAAAAATGGCGGCGACATGTGCGGCGACGGAGCAGGGATCTCTGGGAAGGCGCGCAGACAAGGCGCGCTGCCCAATAATGCATTCATTCATGACATGTGATCGCATTAGCCAATCAGCAGCCAGCCAGCCAGCACTGTGTAATGGTGGAGCTATAAATTGCGGCCATCTTACAATTCTCCATTTGCCTCTGGTCATTCAAGAGAGACAGATCTCTCTGTATTAGGGACACAGAATCGTTACTTAGGGACACAGAATCGTTACTTAGGGACACAGAACCGTTACTTAGGGACACAGAACCGTTACTTAGGGACACAGAACCGTTACTTAGGGACACAATCGTTACTTAGGGACACAGAACTGTTACTTAGGGACACAGACCGTTACAGAACCGTTACTTAGGGACACACAGAACCGTTACTTAGGGACACACAATCGTTACTTAGGGACACAGAACCGTTACTTAGGGACACAGAACCGTTACTTAGGGACACAGAATTGTTACTCAGGGACAGACACAGAATTGTTACTCAGGGACAGACATAGAATTGTTACTCAGGGACAGACACAGAATTGTTACTGAGGGACACAGAATTGTTACTGAGGGACACAGAATTGTTACTGAGGGACACAGAATTGTTACTCAGGGAACAGACACAGAATTGTTACTCAGGGACAGACACAGAATTGTTACTCAGGGACAGACACAGAATTGTTACTCAGGGACAGACACAGAATTGTTACTGAGGGACAGACAGAATTGTTACTGAGGGACACAGAATTGTTACTGAGGGACACAGAATTGTTACTCAGGGACAGATACAGAATTGTTACTCAGGGACAGACACAGAATTGTTACTCAGGGACAGACACAGAATTGTTACTCAGGGACAGACACAGAATTGTTACTGAGGGACACAGAATTGTTACTGAGGGACACAGAATTGTTACTCAGGGACAGGACACAGAATGTTACTGAGGGACACAGAATTGTTACTGAGGGACACAGAATTGTTACTCAGGGACACAGAATTGTTACTCAGGGACACAGAATTGTTACTCAGGGACAGACACAGAATTGTTACTGAGGGACACAGAATTGTTACTCAGGGACACAGAATTGTTACTCAGGGACACAGAATTGTTACTCAGGGACAGACACAGAATTGTTACTGAGGGACACAGAATTGTTACTCAGGGACACAGAATCGTTGAATTAAAGAGTATGTCAGACAACATGCAGAGGAGTGGCAGAGGAGGCAATGTTTTAGGAGCGAGCAGACGTGGCAGCAGAGGAAGGGGTCGAGGCAGCACTAGTCGCAGCCAGAGGCCAGTGCTCCCGGTGTCATCCAGCGGTCGTGTCTCCACCGACAACCCTGCCGTCATCGATTGGTTGGCTCGGTCGTCTTCCTCTTCCCAGGTCACCTCTGACACCTACAGCCAACGGTCGGTGGGTACGTCAGACACAACCGTTAGTTGGCATGGCCCGGGAGCAAGCCCACTGAAATCACGTGTCCTCTACCTGCCCCTGTCCTTTGGTGTTCCCTCACCAAGCGAAGTATCGCATGCTGTGGGCTCAGCCCCACTGTACAGTGAGGAAGAGCTAACAGAGGGCGGTCAGGAACGGGGGGAGACATCCGCCTCTTCAGCAGCCAGGCGAAGAAGTACTGGCGAGGAGAGTGGCTCGGTAGCCGGTCTAGAGACAGGTCTGTCTCCTGACCCACACGCAGCCGAGGGGGCTAGTAGTGAGGCGGAGACCCTAATTGATGATGATGAGGCTGATCGCACTTGGCAGCCTCGTCGTCATCAGGCTATTGCTTCCGCATCATCAGGAGAAGAGGGTGCCAGCTTGGCAGCGAGCAAAACAGTCGGTGGGTTGCCCAGGAGGCAGCAGGGTCGCAGCAGTGTCAGTGGAGGCAAACGGCCACGGAGTAGAGCACCAGCTCCACTGCAGCCTACCACCACGGCCAGTAGTGGTGCCAGGTGTGCACGGAGGAAGTAGCAGTCAGCCAGTGAGGAGTAGCGGGGGCAAAGTTTCCTACTCGGCGGTGTGTGGGCAATTTTTCGTCAAGCCGCCCGAGGAAGTAAACGTAGCCGTATGTCGACTATGTGGCCAGAAAGTCAAGCGTGGCCAGGGGGCCCATGTTGGGACTACAGCGTTGCGGCAGCATATGCAGCGTCGCCATTTGGTGGCCTGGGAAAACCGTGATAAAGATACGGCGGTTCTGCCTGCCCCAGCCCCCGCTCCATCACCCGCTCCGTTACTTGCTCCGTCACCCGACGTCAATCGCCCTCTATCAGCCAGTCAAGGCTCCAACACCTCTGCTGAGGGGAGTTGTCGCTCGTTGGCATCTTCCGCTCGTTCAGATGCTCCTTCTCCTGCTACTCCTCTTCACGGATTCCGTCAGCAGTCTTTCTTGGAATCCGTTTCCAAGAGACAACAGTTTGCGAGCACGCACCCGACGGTGCAAAAGCTGAACGTCCTCCTGTCCAAGTTGCTGGTGCTGCAGTCCCTCCCTTTCCAAGTGGTGGGACTCAGCACCTTTCCGAGAAATGATGGCTTGTGCCGCCGCGGTGGAGAGTGCCAAGCCGGCATTTCTTCGCCAAAAAGGCAGTGCCAGCCCTGCATTCACATGTAGAAGAGATGGTGGGCCAGTCTTTGAGCATGTCGGTCTCTGCCAAAGTGCACGGCAGCGCCGACGTGTGGAGCTGTAACTACGGTCAGGGACAGTACATGTCATTTACGGCCCACTGGGTGAACGTGGTGCCGGCACAGCCGCACCAGCAACTTGGACAGGTCACGCCGCTTTTGCCTCCACGTTTGCACGTCCTTGGTCCGGCAAAGATGTCCGCCTCTACCACCTCTTCTTCCGCCGTGTCCTCAGCCGCCACCCCCGTGCCAAGTCCCATTACCCGACCGGCATATCACATGTGCAGGGCGCAACGGTGTCACGCTGTGCTGCACCTGGTATGCCTTGGCGAACGTAGTCACACAGGGGGGAACTTCTGAGTGTAATGAACAGAGAAATCGACAGATGGCTGTCTCCGCGCAAACTGAAAATCGGAACCATGTTGACGACAACGGAAAGAACATGGTGTCTGCTCTGCGTCAAGGAAGGTTGTGCCATGCGCCATGCATGGCTCACGTGTTCAATCTGGTTGTCAAGCGGTTCCTAAAATCCACCATCCCACTGCAAGACATCCTTAAAATGTCACGTAAACTTTGCATGCATTTCAGCCATTCCTACACCGCAAAGCACACCCTCCTTGAGCTGCAGCGGCAGAACGGAATTCCACAGCATCGCCTGATCTGCGACGTTGCAACAAGGTGGAATTCAACCCTACACATGTTAGACCGCCTTTACGAACAGCGAAAGGCCATCACCGATTTCCTGATGTTACAAGCGGATAAAGGTACTCCCCTGTGTAACTTCGATGTCAGCCATTGGCAGCTCATGCGTGACACCTGCCGCTTGCTCAGGCCCTTTGAGGAGGCCACGCTATTGTGAGTCGGCAGGACTATGGGATGAACGACGTCATTCCTCTGTGTTGCACGTCCTGGAACAAATGCTGTGTTAACAATGGCTGGTCAGGGTGCGGTAGACGTGGCGCACAGATCTCAACGCCACATGACCCCTGTGGGGGCAGGACAGGAAGAAGAGGAGGAGGTAGAGGAGGACATTGGTGTGCTCAGGAATTATTGAGTGAAATGGGTGGTTTTTCCACTCAGCGGACAGGAGTGGAGGAGCAGGAGCATCTGGTAGAGGAGGAGGAGGAGGAGACAGAGGACCCAGACGCACCGTGGGCAGTATGCTGTGGAGATGGAGGCAGGGAGTCCCTCGCATTCCTTGGCACAAATGGCCCATAGCATGCTCGGTTGCTTGCGTAGCGACAGCCGAATAATAACCATCAGACAGAGGGATGACTTTTGGCTGTCCACCTTGTTGGACCCTCGCTACCTACCGTTCAAAAAAATGGTGGCCTTTTTCACACCTGCTGAGAGGGAGGCCAAAATAACGTACTATAAAAACCACCTATGTAGTCAGTTGGTCTCTGCCTTTCTGCGCCAACGTCGTCCATCCTCAGACACTGTGGGCCCTGTGCGCTCGCGTTCCGCTGCCATGGCAGCAGGGGAGGGGTGGGGGGTGGTAGGAGCAGTGGCAGCTCCACCAGCAGCGGCTGCCTCAGTCTGCAGTCGATGATGAGTAGCTTTCTTCACCAGCGCAGTGAGGAAACTACTAACCAGCCGCAGCAGCAGCAGCAGCATCAGGTGGACCTGGAGCAGGACCTCAAACAACAGGCTTGGGCCTACTTGGACAGCACCCTGCCAACCGAGGTAGACAATCCCCTTGACTACTGGGCAACGAAACTTGACCTTTGGCCCCCAACTAGCTGAATTTGCCCTTGAAAGGCTGTCATGCCCGGCCAGTAGCGTGGCATCGGAGCGCGTGTTTAGTGCGGCAGGAGGTATTGTAACTCCGCGAGGACACGACTGTCCACCCAAAGTGTGGAGAGACTCACGTTTGTGAAAATGAATCAGGCGTGGATTAGTCTGGATTTCAAACCACCAGTTCCTGACACAACTGACTAAATCCGCCATGAATCATGCCCCAAACATGTGCCACTTTCAGGTCTCCTCACACACTGCTGGTGGGTTCCATTTTTTGTCATAGGGTGCTGGCAGATTACGGGCCTCCCATTGCTGCTGCCAGGCCCTAATCTGCCATGGGCCCCTGTACCGCCTCCTCATGCTGCTGCCAGGTCCAGAGTGTCTCATGGGTCCCTGTACGGCCTCCCATTGCTGCTGTCTCCATCGCCACACTCTGCCATGTGCCACTTTCAGGTCTCCTCACACTGCTGGTGTGTTCCATTTTGTCATAGGGTGCTGGCAGATTACGGGCCTCCCATTGCTGCTGCCAGGCCCGTAATCTGCCATGGGCCCCTGTACCGCCTCCTCATGCTGCTGCCAGGTCAGAGTGTCTCATGGGTCCCTGTACGGCCTCCCATTGCTGCTGTCTCCATCGCCACACTCTGCCATGTGCCACTTTCAGGTCTCCTCACACTGCTGGTGTGTTCCATTTTTTGTCATAGGGTGCTGGCAGATTACGGGCCTCCCATTGCTGCTGCCAGGCCCGTAATCTGCCATGGGCCCCTGTACCGCCTCCTCATGCTGCTGCCAGGTCCAGAGTGTCTCATGGGTCCCTGTACGGCCTCCCATTGCTGCTGTCTCCATCGCCACACTCTGCCATGTGCCACTTTCAGGTCTCCTCACACTGCTGGTGTGTTCCATTTTTTGTCATAGGGTGCTGGCAGATTACGGGCCTCCCATTGCTGCTGCCAGGCCCGTAATCTGCCATGGGCCCCTGTACCGCCTCCTCATGCTGCTGCCAGGTCCAGAGTGTCTCATGGGTCCCTGTACGGCCTCCCATTGCTGCTGTCTCCATCGCCACACTCTGCCATGTGCACTTTCAGGTCTCCTCACACTGCTGGTGTGTTCCATTTTTTGTCATAGGGTGCTGGCAGATTACGGGCCTCCCATTGCTGCTGCCAGGCCCGTAATCTGCCATGGGCCCCTGTACCCGCCTCCTCATGCTGCTGCCAGGTCCAGAGAGTCTCTCATGGGTCCCTGTACGGCCTCCCATTGCTGCTGTCTCCATCGCCACACTCTGCCATGTGCCACTTTCAGGTCTCCTCACACTGCTGGTGTGTTCCATTTTGTCATAGGGTGCTGGCAGATTACGGGCCTCCCATTGCTGCTGCCAGGCCCGTAATCTGCCATGGGCCCCTGTACCGCCTCCTCATGCTGCTGCCAGGTCCAGAGTGTCTCATGGGTCCCTGTACGGCCTCCCATTGCTGCTGTCTCCATCGCCACACTCTGCCATGTGCCACTTTCAGGTCTCCTCACACTGCTGGTGTGTTCCATTTTGTCATAGGGTGCTGGCAGATTACGGGCCTCCCCATTGCTGCTGCCAGGCCCGTAATCTGCCATGGGCCCCCGTACCGCCTCCTCATGCTGCTGCCAGGTCCAGAGTCTCTCATGGGTCCCTGTACGGCCTCCCATTGCTGCTGTCTCCATCGCCACACTCTGCCATGTGCCACTTTCAGGTCTCCTCACACTCACACTGCTGGTGTGTTCCATTTTGTCATAGGGTGCTGGCAGATTACGGGCCTCCCATTGCTGCTGCCAGGCCCGTAATCTGCCATGGGCCCCTACGCCTCCTCATGCTGCTGCCAGGTCCAGAGTGTCTCATGGGTCCCTGTACGGCCTCCCATTGCTGCTGTCTCCATCGCCACACTCTGCCATGTGCCACTTTCAGGTCTCCTCACACTGCTGGTGTGTGTTCCATTTTTTGTCATAGGGTGCTGGCAGATTACGGGCCTCCCATTGCTGCTGCCAGGCCCGTAATCTGCCATGGGCCCCTGTACCGCCTCCTCATGCTGCTGCCAGGTCCAGAGTCTCTCATGGGTCCCTGTACGGCCTCCCATTGCTGCTGTCTCCATCGCCACACTCTGCCATGTGCCACTTTCAGGTCTCCTCACACTGCTGGTGTGTTCCATTTTGTCATAGGGTGCTGGCAGATTACGGGCCTCCCATTGCTGCTGCCAGGCCCGTAATCTGCCATGGGCCCCTGTACCGCCTCCTCATGCTGCTGCCAGGTCCAGAGTCTCTCATGGGTCCCTGTACGGCCTCCCATTGCTGCTGTCTCCATCGCCACACTCTGCCATGTGCCACTTTCAGGTCTCCTCACACTGCTGGTGTGTTCCATTTTGTCATAGGGTGCTGGCAGATTACGGGCCTCCCATTGCTGCTGCCAGGCCCGTAATCTGCCATGGGCCCCTGTACCGCCTCCTCATGCTGCTGCCAGGTCCAGAGTCTCTCATGGGTCCCTGTACGGCCTCCCATTGCTGCTGTCTCCATCGCCACACTCTGCCAGTGTGCCACTTTCAGGTCTCCTCACACTGCTGGTGTGTTCCATTTTTTGTCATAGGGTGCTGGCAGATTACGGGCCTCCCATTGCTGCTGCCAGGCCCGTAATCTGCCATGGGCCCCCGTACCGCCTCCTCATGCTGCTGCCAGGTCCAGAGTCTCTCATGGGTCCCTGTACGGCCTCCCATTGCTGCTGTCTCCATCGCCACACTCTGCCATGTGCCACTTTCAGGTCTCCTCACACTGCTGGTGTGTTCCATTTTTTGTCATAGGGTGCTGGCAGATTACGGGCCTCCCATTGCTGCTGCCAGGCCCGTAATCTGCCATGGGCCCCTGTACCGCCTCCTCATGCTGCTGCCAGGTCCAGAGTGTCTCATGGGTCCCTGTACGGCCTCCCATTGCTGCTGTCTCCATCGCCACACTCTGCCATGTGCCACTTTCAGGTCTCCTCACACTGCTGGTGTGTTCCATTTTGTCATAGGGTGCTGGCAGATTACGGGCCTCCCATTGCTGCTGCCAGGCCCGTAATCTGCCATGGGCCCCTGTACCGCCTCCTCATGCTGCTGCCAGGTCCAGAGTCTCTCATGGGTCCCTGTACGGCCTCCCATTGCTGCTGTCTCCATCGCCACACTCTGCCATGTGCCACTTTCAGGTCTCCTCACACTGCTGGTGTGTTCCATTTTTTGTCATAGGGTGCTGGCAGATTACGGGCCTCCCATTGCTGCTGCCAGGCCCGTAATCTGCCATGGGCCCCTGTACCGCCTCCTCATGCTGCTGCCAGGTCCAGAGTCTCTCATGGGTCCCTGTACGGCCTCCCATTGCTGCTGTCTCCATCGCCACACTCTGCCATGTGCCACTTTCAGGTCTCCTCACACTGCTGGTGTGTTCCATTTTTTGTCATAGGGTGCTGGCAGATTACGGGCCTCCCATTGCTGCTGCCAGGCCCGTAATCTGCCATGGGCCCCTGTACCGCCTCCTCATGCTGCTGCCAGGTCCAGAGTGTCTCATGGGTCCCTGTACGGCCTCCCATTGCTGCTGTCTCCATCGCCACACTCTGCCATGTGCCACTTTCAGGTCTCCTCACACTGCTGGTGTGTTCCATTTTTTTGTCATAGGGTGCTGGCAGATTACGGGCCTCCCATTGCTGCTGCCAGGCCCCCCTAATCTGCCATGGGCCCCCGTACCGCCTCCTCATGCTGCTGCCAGGTCCAGAGTCTCTCATGGGTCCCTGTACGGCCTCCCATTGCTGCTGTCTCCATCGCCACACTCTGCCATGTGCCACTTTCAGGTCTCCTCACACTGCTGGTGTGTTTCCATTTTTTCATAGGGTGCTGGCAGATTACGGGCCTCCCATTGCTGCCAGGCCCGTAATCTGCCATGGGCCCCTGTACCGCCTCCTCATGCTGCTGCTGCCAGGTCCAGAGTGTCTCATGGGTCCCTGTACGGCCTCCCATTGCTGCTGTCTCCATCGCCACACTCTGCCATGTGCCACTTTCAGGTCTCCTCACACTGCTGGTGTGTTCCATTTTTTGTCATAGGGTGCTGGCAGATTACGGGCCTCCCATTGCTGCTGCCAGGCCCGTAATCTGCCATGGGCCCCCCGTACCGCCTCCTCATGCTGCTGCCAGGTCCAGAGTGTCTCATGGGTCCCTGTACGGCCTCCCATTGCTGCTGTCTCCATCGCCACACTCTGCCATGTGCCACTTTCAGGTCTCCTCACACTGCTGGTGTGTTCCATTTTTTGTCATAGGGTGCTGGCAGATTACGGGCCTCCCATTGCTGCTGCCAGGCCCGTAATCTGCCATGGGCCCCCGTACCGCCTCCTCATGCTGCTGCCAGGTCCAGAGTCTCTCATGGGTCCCTGTACGGCCTCCCATTGCTGCTGTCTCCATCGCCACACTCTGCCATGCCATGTGCCACTTTCAGGTCTCCTCACACTGCTGGTGTGTTCCATTTTGTCATAGGGTGCTGGCAGATTACGGGCCTCCCATTGCTGCTGCCAGGCCCGTAATCTGCCATGGGCCCCTGTACCGCCTCCTCATGCTGCTGCCAGGTCCAGAGTGTCTCATGGGTCCCTGTACGGCCTCCCATTGCTGCTGTCTCCATCGCCACACTCTGCCATGTGCCACTTTCAGGTCTCCTCACACTGCTGGTGTGTTCCATTTTTTGTCATAGGGTGCTGGCAGATTACGGGCCTCCCATTGCTGCTGCCAGGCCCGTAATCTGCCATGGGCCCCTGTACCGCCTCCTCATGCTGCTGCCAGGTCCAGAGTCTCTCATGGGTCCCTGTACGGCCTCCCATTGCTGCTGTCTCCATCGCCACACTCTGCCATGTGCCACTTTCAGGTCTCCTCACACTGCTGGTGTGTTCCATTTTGTCATAGGGTGCTGGCAGATTACGGGCCTCCCATTGCTGCTGCCAGGCCCGTAATCTGCCATGGGCCCCTGTACCGCCTCCTCATGCTGCTGCCAGGTCCAGAGTGTCTCATGGGTCCCTGTACGGCCTCCCATTGCTGCTGTCTCCATCGCCACACTCTGCCATGTGCCACTTTCAGGTCTCCTCACACTGCTGGTGTGTTCCATTTTGTCATAGGGTGCTGGCAGATTACGGGCCTCCCATTGCTGCTGCCAGGCCCGTAATCTGCCATGGGCCCCTGTACCGCCTCCTCATGCTGCTGCCAGGTCCAGAGTGTCTCATGGGTCCCTGTACGGCCTCCATTGCTGCTGTCTCCATCGCCACACTCTGCCATGTGCCACTTTCAGGTCTCCTCACACTGCTGGTGGTGTGTTCCATTTTTTCATAGGGTGCTGGCAGATTACGGGCCTCCCATTGCTGCTGCCAGGCCCGTAATCTGCCATGGGCCCCGTACCGACTCCTCATGCTGTGACGTTGCAACAAGGTGGAATTCAACCCTACATATGTTAGACCGCCTTTACGAACAGCGAAAGGCCATCACCGATTTCCTGATGTTACAAGCGGATAAAGGTACTCCCCTGTGTAACTTTTGTCATGTCAGCCATTGGCAGCTCATGCGTGACACCTGCCGCTTGCTCAGGCCCTTTGAGGAGGCCACGCTATTCGTGAGTCGGCAGGACTATGGGATGAACGACGTCATTCCTCTGTTGCACGTCCTGGAACAAATGCTGTTAACAATGGCTGGTCAGGGTGCGGTAGACGTGGCGCACAGATCTCAACGCCACATGACCCCTGTGGGGGCAGGACAGGAAGAAGAGGAGGAGGTAGAGGAGGACATTGGTGCTGCTCAGGAGGAATTATTGAGTGAAATGGGTGGTTTTTCCACTCAGCGGACAGGAGTGGAGGAGCAGGAGCATCTGGTAGAGGAGGAGGAGGAGGAGGAGACAGAGGACCCAGACGCACCGTGGCAGTATGCTGTGGAGATGGAGGCAGGGAGTCCCTCGCATTCCTTGGCACAAATGGCCCATAGCATGCTCGGTTGCTTGCGTAGCGACAGCCGAATAATAACCATCAGACAGAGGGATGACTTTTGGCTGTCCACCTTGTTGGACCCTCGCTACCGTTCAAAAATGGTGGCCTTTTTCACACCTGCTGAGAGGGAGGCCAAAATAAAGTACTATAAAAACCACCTATGTAGTCAGTTGGTCTCTGCCTTTCTGCGCCAACGTCCATCCTCAGACACTGTGGGCCCTGTGCGCTCGCGTTCCGCTGCCATGGCAGCAGGGGAGGGGTGGGGGGGTGGTAGGAGCAGTGGCAGCTCCACCAGCAGCGGCTGCCTCAGTCTGCAGTCGATGATGAGTAGCTTTCTTCACCAGCGCAGTGAGGAAACTAACTACTAACCAGCCGCAGCAGCAGCAGCAGCATCAGGTGGACCTGGAGCAGGACCTCAAACAACAGGCTCGGGCCTACTTGGACAGCACCCTGCCAACCGAGGTAGACAATCCCCTTGACTACTGGGCAACGAAACTTGACCTTTGGCCCCAACTAGCTGAATTTGCCCTTGAAAGGTCTGTCATGCCCGGCCAGTAGCGTGGCATCGGAGCGCGTGTTTAGTGCGGCAGGAGGTATTGTAACTCCGCGGAGGACACGACTGTCCCCTCAAAGTGTGGAGAGACTCACGTTTGCTGTGAAAATGAATCAGGCGTGGGGTCTGGATTTCAAACCACCAGTTCCTGACACAACTGACTAAATCCGCCATGAATCATGCCCCAAACATGTGCCACTTTCAGGTCTCCTCACACTGCTGGTGGTGGGTTCCATTTTGTCATAGGGTGCTGGCAGATTACGGGCCTCCCATTGCTGCTGCCAGGCCCGTAATCTGCCATGGGCCCCTGTACCGCCTCCTCATGCTGCTGCCAGGTCCAGTAGTCTCTGTCATGGGTCCCTGTACGGCCTCCCATTGCTGCTGCTGTCTCCATCGCCACACTCTGCCATGTGCCACTTTCAGGTCTCCTCACACTGCTGGTGTGTTCCATTTTGTCATAGGGTGCTGGCAGATTACGGGCCTCCCATTGCTGCTGCCAGGCCCGTAATCTGCCATGGGCCCCTGTACCGCCTCCTCATGCTGCTGCCAGGTCCAGAGTGTGTCATGGGTCCCTGTACGGCCTCCCATTGCTGCTGTCTCCATCGCCACACTCTGCCATGTGCCACTTTCAGGTCTCCTCACACTGCTGGTGGGTTCCATTTTTGTCATAGGGTGCTGTATGGCCTCCCATTGCTGCTGCCTCCACCGCCACACTGTGGCTCCACACTCTGGTTTTGGCCCCGTGACTGCCCAAATGAGTGAAGTGTGCGGTGATTCTAAGATCGAGTGTTCTGCACTAATATAAAGGCTCTCTGAAGCCTAGAAACACCCTTTTATAAGTTAAATTCGCAGCGAATATATTCGAATCGAATCAAATTTATTCCTCGAATTCGCCGAATCAGCCGAATCGAATTTTTGAATACTTCGCTCATCTCTAGCTCTGTCCAATTACAAGCGATCACAAATGTAAAGACAGAAGGGTCATGACTGGGTTTTCTCTCTTCTTTCCTCACACCAATATCAAGTGTGAGGAAAGGAGAGATAACCGGTTTCTAAACTGTGACTGTTCTCATCAGTGCCCATCTGTGCTCATCAGTGCCCACCAGTGAGTGTCCATCTGTGCATATCAGTGCCCATCAGTGCTCATCATTGCCTATCTGTGCACATCAGTGCTCAATGGTGCCCATCTGCGCATATCAGTGCTCATCTGTGCATATCAGTGCTCATCTGTGCACACCTGTGCATATCAGTGCTCATCGGTGCCTATCTGTGCATATCGGTGCTCATCTGTGCCCATCTGTGCACATCAGTGCCCATCAGCTAGGCTCATCAGTGCCCATTAGTGAGGGCTCATCAGCGTCCACCAGTGCACCTTATCACTGCAGCTTATCCGTGCTCATCAGTGCTACTTAATCACTTCAGCTTATTAATGCCCATCAGTGCACTGCCTCATCACAACCAGGGGCGGACTGACCATTTGGAAACTCGGGCACTACCCGAGGGCCCGGGGTCAGTAGGGAGCCCCATAAGATGCCCCTGGTACCTTTTTCATAGGCTTTTTTGAGTTTGGGCAAGGACACAGGGGCCCCCATGAGTTGTCAGTCCGCCACTGACTGCAACTGTGCAAAACAGTGCTCATCAGTGCTACCTATTTACTGCAGCTTATCAGTGTACATCAGTGCCACTTATTCGTACACATCAGTGCCACCCTATCAGTGGATCCTCATTAGCACCCATCAGTGCACATCAGTGGCAGTTTATCAGTGCAGTGCATTTTTGCACATCAGTGCAACCTCATCAGTGCCCATTAGTGTAGCCTCATCACTTCACATCAGTGCACCCTCATCAGCACCATCAGTGCATCACCATCAACACACCCTCATCAGCACCCAGCAGCGCACCCTCATCAGCACCCAGCAGTGCAGCCTCATCAGCACCCAGCAGTGCAACCTCATTAGAGGAGCCTCATCAGCACCCATCAGTGCAGCCACATCTGTCCCAGTATGTCTAAAAAATTATTTTTCTGTGAGGAGGCCTACCAAATTCTAACCATGACCGACAAGAGCAGCGGGGAGTTCCCCGAGTCTGATTCTGATTTGGATTACCAGCCCATTTTAATCAGTGGGTCTCCTACAGAATCAGAGGAGGAAGAAAGTGTGCCCACCAAACAAAGGCATTCTGGTGAGGAGCAGGCTAGTGCAGTGGCATTCACTAGTAGAGCAGTGGCTTCCACCAGAAATGGAGAACCTCAGGAAAGGCCAGGTACTAGTGGGGTATCACCTCAGCCCCAAAGGGTTAGGACCCATGCCACTCTTCCATATTCCCTTCAAAACCCCCAATGGCTTTCCCCTAACTCTGGAGCAGCTAACATCCCCTCTTTTACTGTCCAGCCAGGAGTTTAGGTGAACACAGAACATTCTTCCCCCATTGATTTTTCTTTATTTAATTTTTACCAATGACTTGCTAAATTCAATTTTGGACCAGTGCAACTTCTATGCCCAACAATTCATAGCCACCAACCCAGATTCAAATTATGCCCGTCCCTATGAATGGAAGCAGTTAACAGTGGAGGAATTTAGAACCTTTTTGGGCCTCACATTTAATATGGGACTCAAAAAAAAAAATCAGTTACACTCCTACTGGTCTATCCACCCAATCCATCATATTCCAATTTGCTCATCAGTCATGCCCAGAACAAGATATATAATGATCATGAGGTTCCTCCATTAAAACAATAACACCCAGTGCCTTTCTCAAAATGATATATGACATATATGGCATATGATAAATTGTATAAAATTCAGACCAATTATTTGTCCCAGACAAAAATATCTGCGTGGATAAGTCACTTGTCCCCTTCACTGGCAGTCTGAGCTTCAAGCAGTTTATCCCCAGAAAAAGGGCCCGATATGGGTTAAACTCTATAAACTATGCGACAGAGCCAAGGGGTATGTGTACGCCTTCCTCTTGTACGAAGGAAAGGACACCCAACTGCAGCACCCTGAATGCCCAGATTACATTGGAGTATGTGGAAAAGTTGTTTGGGAGCTTGTATTTCCACTGCTTGAAAAGGGTTATCTATATGTTGACAATTTTTTTACACCAGCTTTCCCCTTTTCCATAATCTTCACCAAAGGAGAACACTAGCATGTGGCACCGTGAGAGCTAGTAGGAAGGACTTCCCGGAAAGGCTGGTGAATGCAAGACCACAGCAAGGGGTGAATCACCAGAAGAAATGGCACAATCCAAAAACCAGAATGTGTCCATGATTATAATTTGTTCATGGGGAGAGTCGACTTCAATGATCAGATGATCCAGCCCTACCTTGCTGTAAGAAGAACCCACCATTGGTACAAAAATTCATTTTTTCAATTTGGCCATTTATAATACATATGTGACCCACCAGAAATCCACTGAGACACCCATGTCCTTTCTTCGCTATCGGGAAGAAATTGTCACTGCCCTTTTGTACCCTGGAGGCCCACCAGAAAGTGTTCGGTCAGATGCAGTGAGCAGACTCCACAAGCGCCATTTTCCTGAAAAAGGAAAAAATGTCACCAGCACACCGAGGATCACCAATATGGGTCCAAAGGTTTTAATAAACCATCACATAGTTACAGCAAGGCAACGTTTCGGAGTCTCGCAGGACCCCTTCATCAGGCATGTGACAAATCGTGATAGAAACTGGAGAACTATTTAAAAAAAACCATCCACCAATCAGAGTGAAGTGAAATGAGCTTGGCCCCACCCCATGATGTCATGTTCCCTCCAAAAATGTATCCTTAGAGCTGATGACACTCTATCACCCAACTTAAAGAATCCACCATTGATGGCGCATAAGCGAGGTAGATCCCTACGTGACTTATTAGTTCAAGCGGACCCTAGGACCAAATACGCTAAGGCAGTATTTAAGTTCTCAGAAAGACAGGGTTGCTATAAGTGTTACAATTGTAATGTATGCAACTCATTGATCTGTGGGGAATATTTCACACATCCCCACAGTGGGAAACGTTACCAGATACAGGGTTACCTGAACTGTAACATGGATCACTGCGTTTATATTCTGAAATGCCCATGCTCACTAGTTTATGTGGGCAAAACAAAAGGTCCCTTTAAGCGAAGATTTCAGAAACATAGGAGTGACATTAGGACAGCTCTAGTCAAGAGTACCAAAGGTGAACCCATTGATTTGAGTAAACCCGTAGCGGTCCATTTTATTTCGGCAGGACACCAGGTACATGAATTGAGGGGCATGATCATTGAACACGTCAGTCGATTGGCGAGAGGAGGAGATCGTGACAACTTCCTCCTCCGTCGTGAAGCTTATTGGATCCATACCCTTGACACAACACAACCGAGGGGACTTAATACTAACACATCATATTTGTGCTTTTTGGATCGCAGATGAACTTTGGTTATAATGATTCCTCATGATTGAAGTGTATATAGTTTTGTAGATAACTTTTGGTTTAGATTTTTCACATTTGCACTATTCACAGTGGTCTCTCTCTTTCTTCTTGCAAGTAGGCGAGCTGTGTCACCCCTTTACATTCCTTTTTTTTTTTTTTTTTTTTTTTTTTTTGCCTCTTTTCCATTTTATCACTCCCTTCTCTTTTCACTTTTCCCCAGCTCCATTCATGGACTGATTATCATCATTCTCAGGGCTGGTTCGCACTATGAATACGTAGTCGAGATGCGTTCCAGATGCGTCTTTGCCTGTGCGTTTTGACACGGTTTTTGGCATATCTTGTGCGTTTGTTATGCATTCCAAAGTATTTTTTATACATTCTAGTCCATTTGTTTCCCCTCTCTTTTTTCATTTGAGATGGGGATATGTGTAATTGGCATATTTTTGGTGCACTCCGGTGCGCTTTGATGCGTTTTGCAGTATTCTAGTGCAACTCTGTACGAGTGAGATGCGGCTTGTTCTGCTTTTTATCTGCAGCTGGAACGCACTGGAACTACGAACACTGATGTGAACTATGACATTGGCAACCATGTATAGTATACTACTTTATCTTTGGATGCAGATGAAAAGTAACTGAAATGCATGTGGTGTGAACTAGCCCTCAATCTGTTTTCTTTGTGTTCTTTTTTCTTCACAGCTCATCTCTGCAACCCCGCCCACCCACTGGTTTGTGTGGCGTCGGCGCCATATGTTTCTATGACGCCGGCGATTTGCCTCCGCCTTGTCCTTCCCGGCGCCAACATCATGGGTTTCCATGATGATGGCGACCGGTGCAGGAATGTCTTTGAGCGCATGTGTGAGTAGTAAACTCTCATGGTGCATGCAGGTGACATGCGTCGCTATGAAACTGTCGGCCGCTGCACTAATAGGACCACTGTAGGTGTGTCCCCATTGCAGCTCACTTGGCAATCGGAGACAACCCTCCCATATTTCTAGGTAACAGTCTTTATCTTCTGTCATGGACATATATGCTGCTGGTTGTTGATTCCAGAACCCAGCGCTGCTTTCAGCTGACACCTTTATTACAATCCGGGGAGTACCATGATACACATGTGACCACAATGTTTATATCCCCAGGAAATGCAGTTTATGTACATCTGATTATTGTTTATTTATTTTTGCAGTTTGTATTGTTTCTGTTTACATTGATTTGAATACATTTTTGGAGGGAACATGACATCATGGGGTGGGGCCAAGCTCATTTCACTTCACTCTGATTGGTGGATGGTTTTTTTTAAATAGTTCTCCAGTTTCTATCACGATTTGTCACATGCCTGATGAAGGGGTCCTGCGAGACTCCGAAACGTTGCCTTGCTGTAACTATGTGATGGTTTATTAAAACCTTTGGACCCATATTGGTGATCCTCGGTGTGCTGGTGACATTTTTTCCTTGCTGATTTTGTTCGGTTCCAGCCGACGGTCACTGCAGCACCCACTCATACACACAGCCATTTTTTAACGCAGGAACGTGTGCGTTTGGATCATATACTTACTTATTTTCCTGAAAAAGTCCCTATCGGAGAAAGAGGTCAAAGATGTAAAAAAAAATGTCGGGTGTGTTCCAGAAAAGGAGTTAGACAAGACACCAGTTTTTATTGTCCTCAGTGTCCTTCCCAACCAGGCCTCTGCATAGGTTATTGTTTCCACCATTATCATACTTCTCTACAATATTAGTGAAGTATGGTAAACGTAATTCTAAATTTCCTGCCATTCACTTCCCATGCCTCTGCCTGCTCCTGAACTGCCCCCTAGCCTGTTATTTGTTAACGCCGCTGCCTGCTGCCTAAACTGATCATACCTCTGCCTGTTCTGGAACTAACCCTGGCTTGTTATTCGACCACACCTCTGCCTGCCGCCTAAACTGACCATACCTCTGCCTGCTCTGGAACTGATCCTGGCCTGTTTATTGAAGATGCCTCTACTTGCCGTCTAAACTGTCAACCACGTGTCTGCCTGCCATCTGAACTGACCTTGGCTTGTTAATTGACCACATTTTTTGCCTGCCGCTTGGACTGATCTTCTGCCCTGCTACTGTAGTAGTAGGATTCAAGATAACACAGGGGTCTCACATATGTGAGGGGCTTCAGAACAGTTTTTCAGAGTGGGGAAAACTAAGTTTTT